AGGTGCTGCCTTCCCCGGAGACAAAGGTAGCCCGGAGTTCTCTACCCCCGCTTTCGGCCCCGTGACCTGTCTGCACCCGGGGAGCCAGCGTGTTGGCATCTCCCTGGCTCCATAGGCAGAAACTTTCACAGAGACTCCGTCAGCACCTGACAGTGGGCAGCAGCTGCCCTCCGTGGCCGTGTGCCTGCGTTTGGAGGCGGGTTTGGTAAAATGGTGCTTTTCTGAGAAGCGCTCCTCCCCCTCAGTGGTGTTTGCCTTGAGAGACTCCAGTCAGGCCGGTGTGAGAGATGGAGAAGGGCCTCAACAGCAGCCAGCCCAGCCCCCGGGAGGCCAGAAGGTGTCGCTCGCCGAGGTCCTGGCCTCAGAATGGGGTTGTTGAAGCTCTTGAGTTGTTAGTTGTTAACAGTCACTTGCTTGGGGGAATAGGCGTAATGAACCAATACAGATATTTGATATAATTAAATGAGACTTCCCACTTTCCAGTCACTAGGAACATCCGCTAAATCTTACTCAATATGTGGTATTTTGCAGCGTTTAACGCCTTCACCATGACTCTTCCAGTGGAGGCTCTGTAATCCGTGAGCTGAGAGGACGGAGGCAGCCCGTGTGGGTGCTGCCGCTAAAGCTGAGCTGGGGCGTGGCGGGCCCTGCAGGACACGCCATGTGTTAACGCGGCCGGACTGTTGAAGCGGTTGGCTCGCTGCTTCCTTTGGGTAAATGTGTGTTCAGAGGACAGCCTCGTCACTTGTCCTCAAAGGGGCCTTAAAACAGAGTCTTTGTGAAATCCATCTATGCTCTTTGTTTCTAACTCTACACAATCAGAAGGGAGACGATCTGCGTCTGCAAAGCTTTGAGAAACAGATCTTTTCAGTGGGGTCTTGTCCAGGGAGGCAGCGTGACCTCAGGGCCCGAGACAAACTAGAGTGGCTGTCCCAGAAGGTGCTTGAGTGGGCAGAGCCCCGGCATGCCCAGCCTGGAGAAGGCAGCCGGCACCCTGGGGCTTCCTGCTAACAAGCGCAGCCCTGGGCAAGGCAGGTTGGGGACACCCTAGGACTCAGGGAAAGGCCTGTTTGCCGGGGCAGGAGGCATGTGCTGGAGACATTCAGTTATGCCCGCGACAAAGGTTCGTCCAGTGATAGTGAGTCTGGAGTCAGGCAGGCAGACCCTGGCAGAGCGGCTCTCTCCAGGCAGAGGTCTGTCAATAATCCTGCTGTCCTTGGGCGTCCACGACCTGAGTCCTGGCCAAGCCCTCTGAAGAAGTGTTTCTCATCTCTTCCTGATTCCCATCAACTGGAAATGTTATGAAAACAATTCTGTTGGCAAATCCTACTTTTTCCTGCTCTGTAATACGAACCACCAAGAGAACAGAAAACAAAGTGGACATAAGCACGAGACATAGGAAGCCGCCGCACGGCGATTTCTGTCCACTTGTTGATCAGTTTACCGTTTTCAAACGTGGTGATTTCGTTGGCTTCTGCTGACAGTAGTTTCCGCTTTCTTACCAGGTTTAGGCCATGTTTCTCCTCTGAAGTTTTTCTTTGTTTTCCCTCTCATCTCAAAGCGATCCTATTTGGTGATATCAGTAACCTGGTGTTGCTGACTATCAGGATCAAAAGATCAGAACAGGAAAGCACAGGCTGTTCAGTGTCCCCTGACTTGGCACGTGAACAAAAAGCACGGCTCAGAAGATTCTAGAACGATGTGTCCGAAAGGAGGTAATAGGATTATAAAACGACTTTTTAATCTTCACATTGAAGTCAGCGCTTTGCAGAAGTTAAATAAAGCTGTTGAACTGGGGAAATGCAGAGGCTTCGTGTGGATGTGTGACGCTGGCAGGCTGCTGGCACCTCCAGCTTGTGGTCCTCATCTAAGATTACTCCGAGGTCACGGTTGCCCTGGCTCTCCAGCATGGCTGCCTATGTCACAAGAATGTGTTGTTATTAGAAAATAGGGACTTTGGCAGAACTTAAAAGGCGTGCATGTTCTGGCGAGGTTGTGCAAATCTCTGGCTACTGTGGTTTCCAACAGGAGGAAAAGAATTATAGATGGTTTTGATGAACAGAAATTATGGTTTCAGAGGATGTTCTGAGTTCCCTTCTCTCCCCTAGAATTCCTCTTCAGGGGACATCTCATGGATTGTGACATACGCCAGGAAATCCCTGACATCTCAAGATGGAAAATTTCACAAAGGGATGAGAGGTTTGATGTCCTGGGAGGGATCCCTGTCACTAACAAGACCCATGACTTGGGAGGGGGGGTCTCTTTCTCTCCAAAGGACAATGAGATAAGGTTGCCTGTTTACGTCCCTCAAAGGGGGGCTAAGCTCTGTAAGAGCTGATTTATTGTAATGATTGTTGTTCTTCAAGTTTTTTTTTTAAAATATTTATTTATTTATTCATATGGAACTGGGGTACAGGCCAGAGATGTGGAGGGTGAGAAGATTCACCAGAGACAGAGCAGGGAGCAGAACAGGCAGATCGACGAAGTACACTGCTGAGGGGAGCAGCGGGTGGGTCAGGAGAGGTCTGCCGCACCATGTGGTTCTCCTCCCTGGCAGGCAGGAATCGAACTCATGCTCAAATGGCTTTAGCTTCTTAGTGCAGCGCTTTAACCCGCTGCACCACCAGGGAGGGCCCTGTTCTTCAAGTTATAATAGATTTCCTCCACCTGTTTCTCCCAACCTACACCCTGATGACATATAACCTTGTTCCATGGGGTCTTCTGATCCAGGAAGCTGCCAATATCACTTTGTGTTTAGGAAAATCCCTAACAAGGATGGTGTAGAAGAGAGATTTACAAAAACTAAAATCATACAGAGGCTATAAAATAATAGAAGAATATTATTTTCTCTTTGTCACATGTGTATACATGCATAGATAAGAGTCTACAAAAATAATCATGTCAGAGTGAAATTGTAGGTGATTATAATAATCACCATTCTGTTTTTTCTTTTAATTTATATATAATCGCCATGTTTAAATAATATGTTTTTAAAGTGTGGGAAATGCTCTTTTAAAAATAATTTGTTATTTTCTTCAGGTTTTTTTTTTACCTGATTGTCGAAAATTACAATGATGTAGGAAATCAAAGCTTTTGAACAACAAAAAAAAATATATATAGGAATATGTGGCCTGAAGAGCAATCAATTTTCTTTAACAGCAAAAACTCATAAGGAGTTGGGCTTTTCTAGAAACTTCAGGATATTTAATCACAATGAAAATGTCTAACTTCACTGAACAAGATCTCCAGGAAGGTTATGATAGGTAGGGCATATCCCATCCAGTACAGACATTTTATCTAGATTTTGATGATTGAAAAATAAGATTTTATCAGGCAGAAAAGAGATGGGAAAACGATATTCCAGATAGAACAGCTGGACACTCACAGAGACAAAAATAATTTCAGTACCCACAAATACACAGTGTAACTGACAATAACCCGGTCCTTCCACACAGCTGATTTCAGTTGTGAATCAGTTTAGGTCTCATCCTAATGTTGGTCATGGTTCCATTTTCTTGGAGTAACCAGTCAGCTAAACCAATCGATGAGTAAACTTATGTGTCTACCGAATGTAGACATTGATAATGTTATTTAATCGTCAGGACCACCCAACTGAGGCCACATGGTAGACCCACCCACAGATTCTGCTTATGTGGGGCTGGGGGTAGGGAAGAAACTCTCCAGAATCAGGCTGTGTGGCTAGGAGAGACAGCTGATTCTGGGTGACTGCACAGCCACAATCGTCCGCTGCATGCGGAGCCCAGGCTACTGCTACATCACTGTCCTCAGTGTCTCTCTCTCTGCCTCGTGGTGCAGCAGGTCCAGACATGCCTTTTGGGGACTATATGTGGTCCATACATCAGCGCCAGACTGGAGACTCGTGCCCTGGTGTAGCACGGGGCTCCCTTCCTAGACAAGAACAACCTTGGCAAAACCAGGACCTGCTGGCAGACCTGAGACCTGAGGTCCTCCTGGGCAGACCTGGCACCCTTGGGGAAGGGGGCAGAGGCCAGAATGTGAAATGCAGATGAGACCTTAGAAGGAACTTTCCTTTTAGGTGGAGTTGAATTCCTGGAGCCATGAATTTTAGAGAGTGGGATTGGTTGTGATGATGATGAGCCACCCTTCTGACGACTTGCCTTGGGTTCCCTAGGAAAAAGGAAACTTCTACCTAATTTCCTTAACAAGGAGGTACAACCCCAGTGTAGGAAGAATTGGTGGGGGGCCAAGAAACAGGACAGGACAGGAAATCGGGGGTGCAACCCCACACTGGCTTCCCCAGACATTGCGGGATGCCTCAGGGTGGGTACCCCCTCCAAACAGCCATAGAAGGGTACACTCCATTGCTTCCCCATCCCTGACCCCTTGGCCAGTCTGTCGCAAGGCATGATGGTTCCTCTTCACAGTCAGGTTGTAAGATCCTTTCTGATCAGGGAGCCAGAAAGCCTGAGAACCCAGGCAGTTATTTTATTTCTCACCATCATTAGTCACCTCGCAGTCGGAAACAGCTCTCGGCCGGTGGTTTCTTGGCCACTTCTCAGGCACTGGGCTACTCACAAGTATTACCTCAGCGAGCTCATCAATCCAGTTCTTATCCCCTTTCCATAGAGAGGGACGCAAGCGCCAGAGACGGTCAGGACTTTGCGGGGGCCACAGCTGGGTCAGCTCTGCTCTCGCGGGCTCAGCTCCGCGACGCTGCATCCCACAGACGTGCGGGCTCTCGGTGTCCTTGGCGCTGAGGCAGTCTGCTGCTTAGGAACCGTAAACATTTCAGTGAGTAACTGCATCTTTACTGTGAAGACAAAAAACACCTTGAATTTCTAGAGCTGGAAGGTCAGTCAGGAAACCCACAAGTTAGAAACGGACCAGGCATTACTATCAAAGTAGATTTCATTTGTTTCCATTTCTCCTGCTTTCCCAAGTCAGACCATCTGCCCTGCATTTGAAAGACCTTGTTCCATCGTATTTTGGAATTGATCTGCTTAGCCTTACCTTAAGGCATGGCCGCTGTCGACTTTGGAGAACATGTGAGTGAGGGTGTCATGTAAGCCTCTGAGCAGGTGGTGCCTCTCGATGCCCTTCGAGGGTGAAGTCTCCCGTTCTGGGCTATCAGAGTAGATGCTCTGGGTTCACTTTCCATCTCTTGGTTTTGTCTCTCCATCTTCTCCCTCGAATCTTGCTCTATCTGGGGACCAGGACATCTGTCCTGGACCTTTCTTTCCATTTAGGCCTTCCAGAATCTTCCTCTCTCTTTCTGAGCTTCATCCCCATGCTGTGTCCTGAGCTCTCTTGAATCCTCTGATTTCCTGAGTTAGCACCTCACTGCCCACCCCTGCACACCCCATTCCCCATGAGGGAGACGGAGGATGGCTGACCTGAGCCTGGTCGGCCTGCACCCCTGCCCTGGGCTGCCCATCACCTGCTGACATGCTCTTCCCACGCTCTGCACCACTCTTCCCCATTCTGTGCCTGGGCCACTGCGGGCGATCTGTTGAGCTCCCACCTTCTGTGGTCCGCCTGCCCGGACCCCGCCAACTGCTGCTTGCTCGGACACGCCTGCATTTATAGTCAAGTCTGTCTCGTCTAGAGCTCAGTGGCTCTGTAGGTGCTGCTCGTAAACTGACTTTGACTCTCAAAACTATGTGATAAGCACCTAAGGGGCAGAGACCGATGCTCATCTCTCCTATCCTCATCCCCTGCACACAGCCAAGCTCAGCAGAGCCAGCCGCCTGCCGACCCCTGGCGTCAAAGCCTGTGGCTCATCACGTGGCCCCCGAGCAGGTCAGAAAAGTGTAAGCGCGTTGATGTAAGATGTGCAAGTCATGCCACCAGGCCATGTTAACACGCTTCTCATCATGTCAAATTAACGATGACATCCTTTCCTCTCAAGGAGACCCGACTCAAATTCTCTTCTTTGTGATCATGCTAAGCTGTAACCACGACGGAGCTCTGTGGTGGTGCTTCTTGTCAATTGAAGATGGAGCCTTTCCCCAAGGTCCAGGCTGATGGTGATGGCCGAAGTGAGTGACGCCAGGCCGCCAGGCCTGAGGGCATCAGGCTGTGAGGCTGACGCAGAGCTGCACGGCTATGATTTTGAGCGGGGTGATGGTTAGGAGTGGTTCAACTTGTAATATCTCCTTAGAAAATCGGCACAGAGCCGCAGAAGTCCTGTCATTCACTTCAGAGATATCCCTTTCTGCCACATTGCAAATGACACATGAAGACCGTTTCTCACGGCCCCGACCGGAAGTGAGCACGGATGCTCTGTAAGCTGTGTGACATCTTGGGGGAGGGTTTGTTCCAGAGACAGAGCCAGACATCTGGGCGAAGCCGCTGCGGGTCCTGGGGGTTTGCTCCCAGGGCTGCAGGCACAGGACAGGCCCCTCCTGAGTTGCTAAATCTTTTGTACCCTTGAATTATGTTTACTTTACCTCTCACTGCTGACCTTTGTAGATTGCAAGTAGCCTCTAACCCTAGTTTTAAGGGTAATTTAAAATCCAAACTCTGACATGTGCCTAATAATAACTTGCCTGGCATCACCTCATGACAGCGCCAGTGAACATCATGTCTCTGGATTTTAACAAGTAGGAAAATCTAAGAAGAGCCCTTGCTTGGATGCCCTTCAAGACTCTAATGAGACTAGAGAGGTTGTGTTTTTGGCAAAATAAAGCAAAGTGATCCTCTTGGCCTTCCTTGAACAGTTGTGTGAGTCTTTCATCAGCTTGGCTCTGCTTGTGCCAAAGGGCATAATTCTCTTTGTGTAGAAGTGACTTTGAAGATTAATGGGGAACAGAATGGGTCCACGCGGGGTGATGAGCACGTTGAAATAATTTCAAATGTTTTGCATGAGTTCACTTAAAGGAGAGCTGCCTTCCTTGTTCTAGTTTGAGTGTTTAGGAGAAAGACAAACACGTGCCATTTACTTCGGCCACTCTGACAGGAGGTGAGCTTTCCATCCTCCGGGAGCCACAGTAAAGGCCCAGTGCTTTACCTCAGGGGAAAGTTCCTCACCTGACTCATGTCGGCCTGGCTGATCTCTCTTCAAACATGAAAGGCATCTCACAGACCCCGCCTGCTGGCCTCAGGCAGCTAGCTCAGGACTGATTAGAAGCATAGCCCCGAGGCAGGGGCAGCCCCCCAACCCCGCCTTGCACCCCAAGGCTGCAGTGCCCCCCCCCAAACCTGGAACACCGGTGCACACGCATGCCTTTCTGGACAGGGCAGACATAGATCGGGGTAATTTATTTTGCCTTCTGACAGATGATGAGCACCCGGAAGCAGGGACAGAAACAAGGCCAGGTACTTCCAGCAGGAAGGGACTTAACAACGGGGTTTGGACTCGGGCAGTTTGGGAGGGGCTGAAGAGCCAGAGGGGAAGGAGACCAGGGAGGCAGCTCTACTCTCTTGCTGGCCAGCCCCGTCCGGCTGCATGGCATCGCCTCCCGGTGGCCGGGGACCGTGACAAGCACAGGCTGGCATCTGCCACCGATGCTGTGGCCTCTGCTGCCCTTAGGCCTGGAGCAGCTGCGGCCCAGGGCAGCCCCCTGGCTGCTCTCCCGCCGTCTGGCCTTGTGCTAGCCCAGCGCCCAAGCCTGACTGGCTGAGGGTATAAACTTCAGTGGGAAATTATTTCAGATAAATAATCACCTGCAAAGTGACTTAAAACAAAGCTGTGTGCCTGAGAAGTCAGTACCCAAATGGACGGTGAAATGCTTCTGAATGACCACGATGACTTCTACTCTGCCTAAATGTAAATATTCTTTTTTAATCTCCATTAATCTCAGCAACTCTGTGAGATGTGCCAGATACTACAGCACCCCATAATCTTTCTCCACCATGTTAGGTGACCAAGCGCCAAGACAAGAGGTTGTGTTCTATAAATAAGCACAATGGGTTGCCTAGGAATATGTGTTTATGAGACTCCTCACAGCTCCTGTTCCAACAGCACTTCTTCTTAGGCCACAGTCTAATCGCCGGGCACGTTCCTCAGGCTGGGGTGAGTGTTCATGGGCGGCTGCTGGCCAGCTCGGAGCTGAGGGCCGGGAACGTTTAAGGGTGCCAGTCTTCAGGGCCTCTGCTCATGTCTGCAAACTGCGTCTGCCTGAGGCACGCAGGAGAGGGTGCGGCCCCTGTGTGTGTGTGTGGGTGTCCTCTCACTTTTATTTCCGCCACTCTCACCCCCCCCCCACCCCACCCCCGTCAATCGGCAAAAGAGATGATGCCGGATGTGAAGCCGTGGGCAGCCGGAGCACTTGGGATGTTGGTTTTGGTATTAACAGGGAAAGTAAATGACTCGAACAACATGGTGAAGTGACTCTGAATTCTGGTGGCTTCCATTTCTTTCTTGACAGTAAGATTCTGGGAGACCGAGCTGGTGTGTTGGTTAATGGAAAAGTAACAATATTTCTGACGATCAGTTGCCATGTGTATCTCGACACAGAACCAAGAGAAGCAAGAGAATTGAGTGATGCTGTAGCCAGGCTCTCCCTCCCCATTAATTTATTTATGACAACGAGGCTTCTTGGCACATAAATGTATAAAGATGAAAAACAGATTTATTGAGCCCTAGTTATTCTAGTAATAAACAATCTTGTTCCACAGATGAGAGGAACAGCTGGAAAACCCCAGACTTTCCTAACAGCCCTCTAGAAACAGAGATGTGCATTTCCAACAAGATTCTACTCTGTGTAGTGAGTCTTTCTCAAACTGTGTCATACTTAGTTTTTTTTTTTATCAAGTATGGACTAAAAGTAGCTCATTATGAACTCATCAGAAAAGATCTAATATTTAGAGATGTCTTATCACAGGAAAAGTTTTTAACCATTTTAAAAAAGATTTATTTTATTTATGCATACAAGAACTAGGGTGCAGGCTAGAGGTGTGGGGGGTGAGTACATTCCCTAGAGACAGAGTGGGGAGCAGAACAGGTGGATCCACTGGAATCCACTGCCGAGGGGAGCAGCAGGGAGACGGAAGAGGTCTGCCCGTCCTGTGGGTCACTCCCTGGCCGGGGATCGAACTCGTGTCACGGTGGTTCCAGATAGCTTCAGAGTGCTGAGACTAACCCCTGCCACTAGGGCGGGCCTTCACAGGGAAAGTTTTAAAATGAAATGTTAAGCCAGAAAATTATTACATACAGATGTTCCTCTCATGGCATACATATCACAATGTGTAATACCCTATGTTGGTAAGTTGACATAATTTTTCAAAACTCCTCTGTAACAAGACATCTCTAAATAGCACACTTTTTCCTGACTGGGTGACTATGCATACTATATTGTACGTGAATATTCCACAATGTATAGGTAGATGTTCTGAATATCCACAATGCACACATGCAATTATGTACCTATCTGCCTCACTGTGACCATAATACACAAAGCATAAACCTCTCTGTAAAGTACTAGGATGTAGGTGAGTGGGACAGGGAGAATTCAAAGGGGAAAAAACATCGGTATCAAATTGTAAACCCCTGGAGAGCTTGTTAGTGGTCGCTGCGGGGTGGTGGGGGCTCTTTAGACTTTTTTTTTTTAAGTAGCTGGTATATTTTTAATATTCTTTGCTAGGTAATGCTTCTTGTGAAGGTACTCTAAATGTAATCTATAAAATGTTATACTGTTATATATATATATATAT